AACAAAATATGACACAAAACAACCAAAAAAAAGATGCAAAATGACAAAAAAGTGACACAAAATGGCCAAAATCTGATGCAAAACAACTCAAAAAACGCAAAATGTTACACAAATGTGACACAAAATAAGCTGAAATATAAACAAAGTGACCAAAGCGTGACACTGAACAGCCTCAGTAATGACACTAACTGGCCAAACTGTGTGTTGTGTCGTATTTGTCCAGGTTTTTCCTTCGGTCTGTCCTTCCTCTCCTCCTTTCCTTTCGCTCCATGTTTTCCTCCCTGAGCCTCGGATGGATGCTAATTGGCTCCTGATGCATTTTTAATGTTCAGCCACGCTGCGCCTGTTGTGCGTCGCCGTGCTGCTCGTGTGTGTTTTTTCCGTGTAATCTGATGACAGCAAGTCGATTTCATCTCTTCTGGCTTCGGTCCTGCGGTCCCGGCGGACCCCCTAATGGCAGCGCGTCAGATGGGGAGGATTTTTTTGGGTCCGTCGCGGCCGAAACTTTGCGGTTAACAGCTTTTCCCTCCAACTATTTGAAGGCGGCCGCGCTTCATTAAGTGAACCGGCAGCAAACTGGGTCACTTGTGTGCGACTGTGTTTGCGTCTGGTCAAACCCTCGAGTCCAAATCATCCGTTAAAAGGGTGGAAACACGCAGAGGATCCGCCACAGTCAGAACATTTCGCTGCTTTCTAAAGGGACGCTTCAAAGTTTTACAAATACGAGGATTCGTTTGATGACCGACGGTGGAAAAACAACCAAAGTGTGACAGAAAACAGCTAAAGTGCAGTAAAAAGCTGCTAGAAACACAAAATGTGACCAAAACAACCACAAACAGACGCAAAATAAACCGTCTGTAGCAGAAAGTAACCGAAATACGACACGAAGCAACCAGAAAATGACACCTGACAGCTTGGAAAGTCTCAACAGTGACTCAAAACTTGTCTCAAAATTATGTCACGTGTGAATAAAATTATTCCAAACTGACCAAAATGAGCTGACGCACGTCCAACAAAACCCAAATTAGTCCAAAACAAAACAAAGTTGATTGGAAGTGTCTTGAAATTTCACTGAAACGATGTGAAACGTGTCCGAAACGACTGAACTTTGCTTCCAAATCAGTTACAAATCGTCCAAAATGCATCAAAATTGTTCCGAGTATCTCAAATTAAACAGAAATGAGTCCAACAAAACTTAAAATCATCCAAAATAAATCAGAAATTGTCCAGAACACAAGAGAAACACTGGTCTGAGTGTTTTAAAAGAGGAAGGTGGAACATTTCGCCTGCTGCTCAGCGTGGGAGTAATCTGATTACTTCAGAACCCTCTGACGTTGATTTAAAATGAGGCTTGTTGCGTCTGAACTGAATGAATCAAACACAGCGAGTCGTTGGATTTAAAGTCGATTGATCGAAGCTTGAAAAAGGAACAGAATCCGTAGAAAGTCACTTCAGAGGAAACGTCTGAAGAACTTTCCCAGAAGTCTTTGTGGTTTTTGGGGTGTTTCTGTTTTTATGTAGATGTAAATGTGTGAGTCTCTGGTGTTGTACTTCGTAGGACGTCGTCAGCCTGCAGGACGCCTCCAAACCTCGAAGCTGCTTTCTGCCTGAGACGATTCCTGAACGTCCTCCTGAGCCGATCGAGTGTCTCCATCTGGTGGATCAGAGGAAACGTTTGCTGCTCTTCACTCTCTCACTCGTCGAATCAGCGTTTGTCTGGTTTTGTTTGTATCGTTACTCTGTCAGAACAAAACACACACACGTACAACAACGATGGAAATGTAGAGAAGATGTTTCAGAAATTACGTTTTCAATTAAACTAAAATTCAGAAGTTGGAAATGGATGCCGGCTGGTGGCCCACATGAAGTGGAAATATATCAATACTGCTACTGCTAATAATGATGATGATGATGATGATGATGATGATGAATTAAAAAAATAGCAACCAAATAGTAGAAAAACAGAAATCTGACCAAAAAAATAAAGAAAAAAGAGTGACAAAAAATAAAGACTAGAAAAATCACATTAATTTGAAACAATAAAAACAGCAAACTAAAACATAAAACAATTACTCATAAAAAATTAAACAAAGAAAAATAAATAATGTAAAAAAATAATTAAAACCAGACTTAAATATTTACTCCAAAAAAATGAAAAAATAGAACACTTATAAACATTTTTTTAATAGAAAAAAAGAATAGATAATTACATAAAATTAAAACATAAAAGATAAAACTTTAATGAGAAAATGAAAGCCTAAAAATTTAAGAAAACTTTAAATAATTGCAGTAAATAAGAAGGCAGTGACATCAATGATAATAATAATAATAATAATAATAATAATAATAATATTATATAAATCAGACAAGAAAAAAACAAAACAAAACAACGATGAAGAAAAGAATCAATTTAAAAGATTTTTATAAGAAAACGGGCAGATAATAAAAGAATTAACGTTTTTCTTCTTATTTTAAAAAAATATATTTTTTTATACAGACAGTCAAATGAATTTGTCTCAAACGCGATTCGTGTCTATTTTGTCCTAAATGACGGCCCGTCCCTCGATAACTTTGCGACATTGTGATTGGCCCATCAGCTCCTCACAGCCCGCCTCCTCACGGATTCTTATTGGTCGACAAGCCCGTCCTTCCGCTGTGCGCGGGGAAAGCAAACATGGCGGCCTTTGCTCGTTTCGGACTTTGTGCGCGTTTGTCTCAAACTTCGGCTTTAAGCGCGACTTTGAGAAAATAAAAGAAGCTGTTTTCAGAGTGGATGTTTTTTTATGGTCCCGCGAACCGGAGAGTCGTCTGTACGAGCTGTTACCTCGAACCGCTGGAAGTGGACTTAACTCCGTCCGGTGAGTTAAAGGAGATTTTATTTCGTCTTCAGTTGGTCTTTAACTCCAGAATAAAGGATTTAAATTGTGCTCATTCCAGTCACGGAGCCTCAGAAGAGTCCGAATCTGTTGGATGAAGCTGGACCCTGTGAGCAGAGCTAAAGTTAGCCGCAGTTAGCCTCCGCCGTGATGCTAACACCAGGCTAGCTCGCTCAGGAAACCGGAAACCTTCGCTGCGAACAATATTAAATTACTAAATAATGCAAGAGAGTAACACTGGTAGAAAGCTGTTAATGCAAAACGTTAATACATTTCTTTAAAGCTGCCAAACTCAATGCGTTTAAACAAAGAAGTGCATGTAGGTCTGTCCCGTAATGAAGGATCCTGCAGCTTCTGATGGATACAGCGCTGTATTGAGCCTATAAGGTCAGCAAAAGTGATGCTTTGCATTAAAAAAAGCACCATTTCAAACACATACTGTAAGGAGTTTAGTAAAGGATTTCGAATAAGACGAGACTCGAGCTCCCACAGTGAAGCTGATTTAAATCCAAACTGTGCTCCGCAGCATCAGTTACCATGGAGACCTAGCACCATAGCATCAGTTACCGTGGAGACCTAGCACCATAGCATCAGTTGCCATGGAGACCTAGCACCACAGCATCAGTTGCCATGGAGACCTAGCACCACAGCATCAGTTGCCATGGAGACCTAACTCCGCAGCATCTGTTACCATGGTGATCTAGCTCCGCAGCATCAGTTACCATGGTAATCTAGCTCTGCAGCATCTGTTACCATGGTAATCTAGCCAGGTTAAACGAGCCGTGTTACAGGTGTTGAAGTGAGGGACGAGACGATGACAGAAACAATAACCAACACGGCGGCTGAATGAGCACACATGTAGAGAGAATCAGCAGAACTCAGTTTTCTTTCTGATGCTACCCGTTCTGCCCTCAGAGTGCAGCTCTTCGTTCACATGATCACACACAGAAGCTCGACTCCGTCTTGCCGATAAATGAAACTGACTCACGTACTGTTTGTGTTTCAGGTCATGGAGCCTCTGCTGGGCTTCGGGCAGCCGTCGGTCCACCAGAGGGCGGAACCACGAGGCTACAGCAGTGTGTTAGCAGGTGTGTTGAGCCCAAAGTCCCAGTCTTTAGTGTCACCAACGCTGTTTCAAAGTAGAACAGAGTGATTTTGATTAAAGTGTCCAGGTTTTTAGCTCACATTGGGATCATTTTACCAACTGAGCGCCACATTTGCTCAGCGACCAACGAGCTCCCTGCAGTTATAAATCGTACAATATGGGCCATTTAAAGATTCAACAGACGGATGTAACTACAGTCAGACCAATAGAAAAGCTTCATTCTAACTTGTACGAGTGATTACTCCAACGGAGGAACTTGCAGAAATAAAATAAAACATTGAAAGTGACACAAAGTACCAGAGTTTGATACCAGCTGGTGGCCTAAAGTACACAATAAAGCATACTAGTAATGTACATAAAGTAAAAACATATAAAAGCCTGAAAATATCCAACAAATGCTGTAAAAAAAATTAGTGTTCAATTAAAACTAATAATAATAAACAGTAACGGAAAAACTAAATGAAGAAAACAATGTAGAAAAAGAAAACAAAATGAAGGTAAAGCAATAAATACATAGAACAGAGTGAATTAAATAGGAAATCAAAATACTAAGAAAAATAAAATAAGAAATAATAAAGAAATGAAACAAAATAAGTGAAAACTAAATATTTATTTAAGAAAAATAAATAAAAAGCAAAAAATATGTAAACTAGATTTTAAAAAAGAGAGAAAACGATTTTTTTTTTTAAATTTAAAAAAAGTAACAAATAATAAATGATTGAAATTGAAAAAGAAAAGAAAAATCGATGAGGAACCAAAAAAAATACTAGAAAGATAAAAATGAAGATAAAACAATAAATACATAGAACAGAACAGAGTAAACTTCTGGTTCTGACTCAGGCTTCGTTTGTTTGCGTTGAGGGGAAACTCGGCAGGTTCCAGTAAGTCGGCTGTTTGAGTTCACCGCCTGTTTGTCTTCGTCACAGCCGGGACACAAACAGTTCCACAAACACACGTTGCTCAACGCCGACCCGGTGACCCGACCCGGAGCTCGGCCGGGAGGCTTCAAATGAGCCGACGGCGGCGCCGGAGCAGCATTCAGCAACACGTCTTCACATCGAGCAGCAGCAGGAAGAAGAGATGCAGCGACTCGGTTTACTCGTCTGTCTGGTCTGCGTGGCCTCCAGTCTGGTGAGTCGCTGCAGCTTCTCCAACCAGGACAGAAGCTCAGTCGTTTGTCTCAGGAAAATTAACGAAGTCAAGACTTTTACTTGTTCGTAAATGAGGAGAGTTTAATTTTATTGCTGCTTTGCGTTATTTCATTTAATTTATAATCATGTTGACGTTTAATCGTTTTCAAGTAAAAACCTTAAGCTGCTTTAAAAACCAAAACAAAAAAACACTTTCTGTTGATATTATTATTAATCACAGTAATAATGAATAACGATAAATAATAAATTAATAGAAAGTATCAGATTACATTTTTTTCTTTATAATACTTTTTAAGTTAATAATAATTACATTTTTTATTTATAATAACAATAAGTTATTATATTTTTTTGTTTTATCTGTGGCTCAAATTTTGATTTACTGACTCTCTTGTAACCGGCCGGCGTCTAGTTTGGATACGACAGAAGCTCGGCTACGAAAATAAAATCACGAAAACACAGAAATATAAAGTTTGTGTCGCAGGAACACGGATGAGTAGAAAACAACACGTAAATGTGTGAATAATGTAATTTAAAGTTGTCGCAGTGAGCTTGGAAAGGACTCACTTCTCTGAGGTTGTGGGTAAAAACCAATTCATTCAATCCCCTTTTTTATTTCTCCAAAAGCTCTAGAATTGAATTTAATGAAGGACTCGTGTTTAACTCCTTCACTGAATTTGTTCTGGAGTCACGTGTTTACAGGAACATTTCTTTGTTGCACTCGTGCCCCAAAGCAGCTCGAGTAAACGAGCGGCGCTGTGTGTGTGGTTTCAGGCCGACTTCGACCCGAGAGGAGCCCGTCCGGTGGAGCACGGCACCAGATCCGAAAAATGTGCCACGGAGAAGGAGTGGCCTTTCTGCACAGACGACGAATGGGTACGTTAGCCGTTAGCCGACCGGTTGGAGGCTGCTTACATTAGCTGAAACAAAGAAATGTCGTACGTTTCTTTACATGCAGCTGGATGGTGGCACGCTGGTCGGCCAGCGCTTGCTCTTGGGTTTTCAGGTTCTGTCGAGGCGGTCCCTCCTGCTGCAGCTGATCCAGATCTCCTTTTGTCCTCCCTCAGGGCCCCAAATGCCCGTCGGGCTGCAGGATCCAGGGTCTGCTGGATAAGTACGACCACGGCGTGGTGAAGAGGATCGAGCAGATCCGCAGCCTGCTGGACCAGAACAAGGCCAAGCATCGCTCCGCCGACCAGGTGTCCAAGCAGACCTACGACTACCTGAAGGAGAAGCTCACCCTCGACGCTGGTCAGTGTTTTGTTTCCCGGCTAGAACAGGGTCACGTCTACCAGCAGGCTCATATAAAACCCACTGAGCAAGTTCTGAGGATTTCGTGCCTCCGTGCTCTTAACTTTTAGTCATTATGACTTTCCTCCAAGTTTTAGTGTTTTTTCTATTTCCCACGAAGATACAGTTTTATGGCCTGAGGTGTTCATTTAGGAGAATGGAGAGTCTGACAAAACAGCTGCTGATGGAAAGAAAGTCAATGTCACCTTTCAGTTCGCCTGTTTTGTGTCCCTTTGTTGTTTTGCATCTTTATGTCGTCTTTTTGTGTCACATTTTAGTCATTTTCCATCTTTTGTGGTGTCTTCGTCTCACATTTTGCTCATTTTTACCAGGCAACAACAACAACTACTACGACCTGGCCCAGAGTCTGCGCCAGAGGATCACGGACATGAAGATAAAGATCGACCGCCAGCTGAGGGTCCTGGCCGCCCTGAAGGACCGGGTCAAGGACCAGGTCACCCAGATGCAGAGGCTGGAGGTACGGCGAGCCAACAGGGACGACGACACACTTCTAAATACTTACATTCACACTCCAGGAACACAGAGAGAAACTAGAGAAGCTGGGAAGTTGAGGAGCAGCCAGTGTTTCTGGCTAATCGGCTGCGTAACACAACCCGACTGCACTACTCGGTCAGATTTCACTTATGGAGGCGTGCTTCTAACTCTTTGTCGCCTCTGACAGGTTGATATCGACATCAAGCTCCGTTCCTGCAAAGGATCTTGCGCCAGCTACTCGGAGCACCAGGTGGACCTGGACAGCTACGTGACTCTGGAGAAACAGGTAAAGACTCGAGGTCCTCATTGGCATCCACATTCTGTGAGGGTTTCAGCTTCATCGTGAGTCTAATTTAAGTGGAAAATCTTAACTTTATGCCTCAAAACCACTTAAATTTGAAATAAAAATATATTAAGGTAATGTTTGTGCACATTGACAGCTCAAAAAAAACTATTTTAGTTCTAAAAATCTTGTTTTCTCGTCAGAATACAGGTATTTACATGTGTCATAACCCGCATCCTACTGGCTGAGGGTTCCATTTCTAACATGAAATACAGGATATATAATAGATGAGGATCTGCAGTCAAAGCTTGTCAGCATATCGTGACTGATGGGTCGTAATGTGAGTGATTCTCACCCAGTGTTTGGCGCTGCTTTGAATTCCCAGGTGCAGCAGCTGGACTCCCAGTTGGACCAGAACGTCGAGTCGGTGGGGACGCTGTACGTGATGAAGAGCAAGCCGCTGCAGGACGTCCTCGTGGACAGCATCTACAAATCTGGCGCCGGAGTGGCAGCGCAGAAGAAAGAAGATTTCTTCCCTGAGGTGAGGCTCCGACACGCTCGACACCAGCTCTGTGTTCTACTCTGGGACTCTGCTCGAGTAGCTTCTCCATGTTCACGAGGCAGAACAATCCTGACTAATGTCACGCTGGCCCTTAACGGGACTGAAAGAGGCCATTTTGGCTCCTGTTGCTTTAAGGCCCTCCTCCCTCAAAGCCCACTGTCTTCTGATTGGCCAGTTTCTGGAAGCCTGCGCTCACTGCTTGTGAGTTGAACCTGCAGCTGACGCATGCGTTATTTATCTGACACTTTGGCCACATTTATTATCCCCTTCCAGCATTTTAACATGAAGCAGTGTTTCGCCGTGCTTCACTGTCAGGACCATGATCCACTGTGGTGGTCCTGGTCAGGTTCACACCAAACATCTGGACTCCATGTGAGCCCAACACATTGATCTCCATCTGACCAGAGGATGTTCTCCAGCATCCATCAGGCTTCTGTTCATGTTCTCTGGTGAACTTTGATGTGGAAGTTTAGCTGTGAGCAGCAGCCAGGTTTAGTTCTGCTCCTCCGTCCATAGAGGCTGATGTTCTGAAGTGTCCTTCACACTGTGTGAGCTTCACACTAACTCTGGTCTCCATTGATCAGCCCTGTGCCAAGTCTGAAGCAGCTGCCTTTGTCTGGTGTCCACAGCTCCATAGTGACAGTAGTTGACTGTCCGTGGAGTCGTTGTAGGAGGACGACCACTGCAGCCCTGATCAGTGCTGCTGTGGCTCCTTCTGGACCTCCTGGTTCCTGCTCACACTGGGCTGCACTGGGTTCTAGCTGCTCACTGATCTTCTGGATCCTTTTCCATCTTTGTCAAGTCTCACAATCAGATTTTAAGTTCCTCTGGAAATTCTCTTCCATGTGGAGCCATCTGGACTCAGTTTGGGTCCTTCAGCGTCTGTATCTTCATTACAGTCTTCTACAGTATTTGCTTTTGATTGCACTTAAGAGGAACTTAGAAGTTCTGCAGCTACTGAGAGGTGACACCAGGAGGTTTTGGCTCATTTAACAAAGTGCTAAATCTTGTAGCTGAAATCCTGCTCACACCATCACACCCTTCTTCTTCCTCCAGGTGAATACGGTCCATTTGATCCTGGAGGAGGAAGGCTCCAGCTCATCCCCAGCCACCATCTCCAAGGTCCCAGGTACTTCCTACTCTCCATCCACATCATCGTCCTCCTCCTCCTCCTCCACTTCTTCCTCCACATCCTCGAAATCCATCACCGAGATCGGGGGACGAGGCGACGGGGGTTTGTTCAATCTGGGCGGAGGCTTCCCCAGCACAAGCCACGTCTCCACCCAAAGCCTCTCCTGCACCAAGAGCATCAGGAGGACGGTGGTTCACACCAAGGACGGCCCGGTGGAGAGGATGGAGGAGGTGATCGAGGGAGGCCCTGAGTGCCAGGCGCTGAGGGACAGTTCCAAGGGAGGGTTGAGCTCGCTGTTCCCCAGCCTCACCCACACATCCTCCTCCTCCTCCTCCTCCTCCTCGTCTTCGGTCCACGCTGGCGGCGCCAAGGGAAGCATCTTAGGAGATTCCAAAACCGGCTTCATGGATCCATTCGGCTCGGACCTCGGCGCGTTCATGACGGGCAACGTGGAGGACGACGTTCCCGACTTTCAGGCCCGCAGCTTGCACGGCATGCGCGTCGAGCGGCAGGCCGATTATGTAGGAAAAGGTACCAAGACATCCGACCTGGAGTGAAGTCTGCGGCGCCGTGTCGGCAACGCTCCGCTAGGTAGCATGTGTTAGCATCAGCAAGCGTGCTAGCTAGCCCCTATGTACCAAAAGCAAGAAGTGAAAGCAGGATTTTTTATTGTTTGTTGCCAGAGCATTAAAGTATTTTGGAAGAAACGGTAAATTGAAGATAAATAAATCGGTGTCGGACGTTTTGCACTAAGATGGAAGCTAGCATGTAGCTAAATCAGTTCAGCGCCTGTTCACTTCCCGACAAAGACAGCAACCAAACATTCGTACAATTTTCAAAGTATTTGAACCCTCTGAACCCTAAAACCCAGCAGGATGTTATCGCCTTAAAAAACAGCTGCCGCAGGACGTCTCAAACTGGAAACCGCTTGAAACTGTGACGTTCAGTTCACACGTTAAAGATGGAGTGAACGTTAGCCGATAAATGTCGACAGTATGTGGAGCTGCGTTGGTGACACCGATTCAGGGTTTGTTTGTTGTTGTTTTTATTCTAAAATACGTAATCAAAGAAATTGAACTTTTTTAATCTGCTCTGTGGCGTAATAACGGGCACGCTGCAGATCTGTGAAGAACACGTCTCTGAGTTCTTCTCCGTCTTCATGTCGTTCTGGTTCCAAAGAGAAGCAGAGAAACATGAAGCACAGTGAAGACGTAAGCGGTCGGAGTTCAGAGGGTTCAAAGATACTGAATTTACCAGCAGTTAAAGCCGAGTTCTCCTCGTTTCAGATTCCTCTCAGAGCGCGTCTGTAGAAGTGCAAACTAAGAGTCAGGTCTGTAGGAAACTATCGAGCCAAAGCCGGCGTTGTGCCAAAAGAAAAAGAAATTACAGCTTCTTGTTAAAGTTTCAGATCATGTTCGTCCGCAGCTGCTTTTATCTGCATCGGTCGTTAAACTTCATCTCCTTGTTTAGTTCTCGTACCACCAGAATCTGGCCCGGCCTTTAGGAGTTAGTTTGGTACGTCTGACGTGCTCAGATTGTTTTATCTGAAAAAGCTCATGAACTTTGGGGCTTCTGCTATTTAAAATGAAGTCCTCCAGTCACGTCGTAGGGGCTGCAGCCACGTTTATGACAGTAGAAAACTGTATCGCGGCATCATGGAGGTTTTTTTGAAGTGGTTTGGTTGTGATCCAGGTGCCACCATGGACGGCAGGTTTTGGCACGACGCCGGTCCTCGCTAACTCGCGATCTCTGTTCGCAGATTGCGTGGACGCCCACCAGAACCACCTGAACGGGGAAAAGAACGGCCTGTTTAAGATCAAACCCGGCGGCGGCAACTCCGTGGCGCTAGTGGAAGTTTACTGCCAGCAGGAGGGCATTATGGGCGGGTGGGTGTTAGTCCAGCAGCGGGAAAGCGGCGCGCTCGACTTCAACCGCACCTGGGCCGAGTACCGCGACGGCTTCGGCTCGGTCGACGCACAGGGCAAGGGGGAGCTCTGGCTCGGCAACCAGAACCTCCACCTGCTGACCAGCCGCGGCGAGACCATGCTGAGGGTGGAGCTGGAGGACCGGGAGGGGGGCGTGGCCAGCGCCGAGTACACGGTCCGGGTCGGCCCCGAGGACCAGGGGTACCCGCTGCTCGTGTCCGGCTACACCGGGGACGCCGGCGACGCTCTGGCGCCGTCGCACAACGGGATGAAGTTCAGCACGGCGGACAGAGACAACGACCGGGCGGACGGCAGCTGTGCACAGCGGTTCGGAGGCGGCTGGTGGTACAACAGCTGCCAGTCGGCCAACTTAAACGGGCTGTACTCCAAAGGCCCGAACGACCCGATAGCAGCCCAGAACGGAGTCGTGTGGGCGACGTTCAAACCGGCCGATCACAGCCTGAAGAGCGTCCGCATGCTTATCCGATCGGCTGCTTTCTGACAAACATCTTTAGTCCACAACTGAAAAGAAAAGTCAAACATCTGGACCCTGGAGAGCTGCTTTCTCTTTTTTTTTTTAGATAAATAGATAATTCTGGGATTTCTAAATGGTGTCAAACGGTGTCGTGTGTGTTTTCCCTGATGCTCGTGTTTTTGTGTAACCGTCAGCGCTGAGCCACTCTGTACACACTGACCTCTGCTCAATCAATAAAGACTCGCTGTTCACTTCAGCCGCTGTGCTCTGTGCTCTCATTTCACCACCAGTCCGTCAGAGGCTCTCCGTTCAAAGCACTTACACAACAGTCAAACCTTCCAGGGTCACGAGCAACTTCAAACACACACATCAAAAAATTTAAAATGATCCCAAAAGCTTAAGCGAATCAAACTAATGTGGCTTTTATTTTTCATATACTTAATCCTCCTGTAGGCTTTGGGAGATTTTAAACTATATTTTCATAATAAAAACATAAATTATCTGCAACCGTTTTAGCATCAGAATTTTACCTCTTGCTTTTTTTGTGGTTTGTGAAAATACTTGGACCACTTGTGGACGAACACACATCCAGCAGGTCGGCAGATGTTCCACGTTAACAGCTGGACGATGTCCACCTTTATTATTATTTTATAAGAGATTTGCTTTTATTTTAAGTCTTTTGATGATTTAAAAAAAAAAAAAAAAATCAAAAGCAATGAAACCAACGTTAAGTTACGCTGACATTCTCGTCTACAAATGAGTACATTTGGTTTTATTTTGTTAAACTCAACACGAGAAACAACTTTTAATCCGTCCAATCAGCGACACTTCTGCAGACTCTTGTTGAAGCTGGACCTTTAGTACTTTCACATATTTGGCGTCGGACACATCCTGACCGACGTCCTTTAGCTTCATCCTGGCTTCATGTCGCCTACTGAAACACGCAGACTTCTTAGAAGCGGTTTCATTGTGGTTCTTGATCAGAAAGTGCCAATAAATGACTAAATCCTGATGACATGAAGGTCACCTCGAGCATTTTAGGTTCTGTTGACTCCAACTTTGACCGACATCAAATATTTAATGATCTTTGAACCGTCGCCCTGCCGACGCAGAACAAACGGTCGTATCTCATGTTTGCTAATGTTCTGTTTGAACTGGAGCTCAGCTGAAGGTGAACCGACCTCCTTTATGTCCCTGCAGTGTGTTTGAGGCTCCAACGGCGGAACCAAGATGGCCGCCAGTCCGTCGGGAGGCAGCAGTGCGGAGCGACGCCGGACGCCGCGATGTGTTCGGACGACGACTGGGTGAGAAACAGATGTTGTGAAAACAAACTCTACTTCTGTGGCGCCTTTCAGACCTGCAGGTACAAAGTGCTTCACAAACAGTTTTAAAATAAAAAGCAGCAAGAAGACGGACAAAAACTACGACAAGAAAGACGACAGAAGACAATAAAGAAGAGGTTAGAAAATAGAATAATATGTAAGAAAAGTCAATGATGATTAAGAAAATATAAAACTTTAACAAAAGACAAACAGTGAAATATTAAAACTGACAAAATAACAGACAATAAAGAAGACTGTAGAAAATGTATTAAAGCACTTAATAAATAAAAGATAAAACTACAACCAAACAGGAGCAAAACACAATAAAACATTTACAAAAGACAAATATCAGAACAGACAATAAGAAAAGAGTAGAAACAAAAGTCAATAAAATATTTAGAAGATAATAAAACTTTTTTTTTTAAAAAGGCTAAAGATAATAATAATAAAAAAATTACAAACACAAAAATAAAATATCAAAAAAACTAAATAAAAAAATGTGAAAAGACCTTAAAACATTAGAAAAGAAAACATCTGAAAATGTAGTGAGACATGAGACAACAAAATAAAACATTAAAAATCAGAACAGAAGATTGAAAAAGACCTAATAAATAATATTATATTATAATAAATAACAACATGTTAGTAAAAGTCAAAAATAATATAAGACTAAATAAAAAGGTGAAAAATAGAAAAAGAAGTAAAAAGAAAATTTAAAAAAAACAACAGAAAAGACAATAAACTTTAATCAACAAAAGAAAACATTTGATAATTAACATGATGTGAATATATGAACATTAAATAAACATTTAAACTACGTAAAACATTAGGAAAGAAAAACATCAAAAACACCAAAACAGTAGAAATGAAAATAAATTATTACACGGGACAATAAAGAGAATAAAATGTTAAAATAACCCAAAAGATAACAAAACTGAAAAAAAGAAAACAAAGACAAAACATTGTAACGATGGAAAAAGCAACAAAACACAAAAACATGAACAATCCTAAAAGTTCTAATAAAACGTTAAATATGAACAGGTGTTAAAGTTAATTTATTTTCTTTGCCGTTAAACTCATCTTTTGCCCCACAGGTCTCTAAATGCCCGTCGGGCTGCAGACTGCAGGGTCTGATCTGGCAGACGGGGGGCGCCGTGGAGACGAGGCTGTGGACGGCGTGTCAGACGCTGAAGACGCTCGAAGGCGCCGCCGAGGAATCCATGAAGGCGACGGCGAGCGTGTACAGCTCCCAGCGCCGGCTCGTCGTCGGCAGATACAGTTAAGACTCGCTCTGGGCTTCTGGGGCTTCGGGATGATTAAAAAATAATTAATAAAATCCGTCCGACTCACGGACCGACTGGTGTTTGTCCACAGCGTCCGAGCTGAAGTTTGCTGAACTCGCAGACGGTCTGTCCGGTAACCTGACGTCGCTACGGCAACGGTCAACCTCGTTGTGGCGGCAGCTGGAGGAGCTGAGCGGCAGCGTCCGGACGCAGCTGGAGGACCTGTATCGAACCGAGGTGAGGCCGCATTCACGCTACCGCAAAAACCCTCGTTCCTGCTGCTACCGCACTGTTTAACATGACGAAGCAAATTCTGCACGGCAGCCGACAAAATTACTTAAATTCTGACAAAGGATTGAGATCATCAGGACCATCGGCCAAGATGTTTAACAAACAGGAAGTGGGAGACCGAGGAAGCCAAAGAATAACCCAACTCATTACATTCTGAGTTCATGCCAGCTGAGCTACTATTGTTTTAGGGACGTTCTGTGACATCGCTGCTTTCATCCCACGTCAGGGAAGATCGACTTTTTATGAGTCATCTCATATTTGGTACCAGCCAATCCAGAGTCCTAACCTGATCCCATTTCCCAGATGACACACACTTCAAGAACATGAAAGCATTTGAAATCAATCAAGGATTTCCTGAACAACGTGGAGGTGATCCTCCTTCTTCATTGCTCCACTGACTTTGTGTAAAGCTCCAGGTCCACTGGCAGCAGAACAGAACCAGAGTATGATGCTGCCACCTCCATGCTGGATGGTTGGTTTGGTGTTTTTGAGGTTAAAACATATTTCTGCTCATTGTGACCAAAAAGCGGCACTTTGGTTTAATTTGACAGCAGAACTTTCCTCCAGATATTTCCTTCAGGAGCTGATAGAGACCAAAACCAGAACCAAAGAGAGCGACTGTTAGTGTCACATGTTGTCCAGCGTTATGTCGACATGACGGACTGATACTGTCGTCGTTGTGCCCGCAAGCTGTTGAAACATGTAAACGTCCATTAAATCGCAGATGCATTCGGGGTCTTTGTGGCAACTCAGGATTCTTCTTCAGTGCTTGTTGCTCTGCAGTATGTTGTGGCGCTAACATCTCGTTTCTGTTACCAGGTGGACGCTGACATGAAGCTACGAGCCTGTCACGGGTCCTGCCGGTCGGCGCTGCCGTTCGACGTCGATCACTCCAGCTACCAAAGGCTTCAAACTGACCTGGACAAGACGCTCAGCCGGAGAAACAAGGCCGCCGTGCCGCCGGCAGACGTCCCACGCATCAAACTGCTGCCTGAATATGAGACCATCCCGATGGTCCAGACAGAACTACTGACCCAGTTTGAGGACATCGGACAGAATCAGTTGACTCTGGTGGAGTCTGTGGATGTGGAGGCGCTTGACGCCGCAGAGCTGGAACGACCAAAGCTTTGACTGTTTGCAAAAGAAGCACTTTGTAGGTTTTGAAGGAGACAATGGGAACGACCATCTCCACTTTCAGTTTCAGTTTACAGTCTGCAGCGAGAATCCACTGCGACTCATTTTGTTCACGCTGTGCAGATCAGACACAGCCGAGACACTTTAGGTTTTTATTAACACCTCTGAGGGCGGGATTTACCTGAAATAGCTTGTATGCTCGTCTGAAAGCTCAATCGTCACTCAAGTAAAGTTTCATATGAGGTGAATTATGTCATGAATGTCATGCCTGTAAGAGCTACATTTCTGGAGATGTCAAACCCTTAAAATGTCGCCTCTGGTGGGCTGTTGAAGATATGTAAAATCATCGGTCTGAAAAATATGAACTGTTGTACAGAACTTAGTTTAGGCTCCAGACTAACACCAGTCTAACTTTAAGACATGTTTCCTGAGTTTTGTCTGAGTTGACAGACTGACCATCGATGAAACTGAAAAGCTCTTTCAGGTTTTAAAGTCACACATTTGCAAGCAAGAAACTGGGAGTTACATCCTCACGGCCCGTCCAAATCAGCACCTTGTTTGTTTCTAAATAGGCCCAATTCAGTGAGATTCCTGAAAATCTGGACTATTTCTAAACTGTGAAGTGTAATGATCGTAGATGAACAGGAAAACAAACCCAAACATTTTCTGAGTTTTCTCTTATTGCAAATCTCTGACTTTAAAATCTCTCATCATGTCAGTGTGTGCGTTTTGTTTTTGTTGTGAATGTCAATGTAGTGATAACTGTAGACACAGTGCCACCATTTTGGGTCCATGAAGGATTGTGTTTCAGTGTATTTATTAGCCATACATACACAGTGGGGGTGCATTGCGGGGATCAGTGTTTACGACGGTGGTGGTTTGATGCATTTCGTCTGCATGTTGCTGTGTTTCACCCGGCACAGGTGCAAGTTTCTTGTTTTTACCGACTCCTTTGACTGACTAGAACGTTGATTAGTTGCCATAAGTGATTAAATCGATTAAAAACAGATGAACCGGTGAGGCAGGAGGCATGCAGCATGGACTCTACAGAGTAAACTTACTGAACAATGTGGAGCCATGAAATGGAATGATGACGTTTTCTTTTGAGAATCTGAACGAACATTTTTGTACCATGTCTTGTATAAAATAAAACAATTGTGAAGAACTAGAAATCTGTTTATGTTCTTCATTTACTACACTGTTTTTACAAAACCATGATTTTACAATAGACTTCACACTGTTTGCACTGTGTACTACCTCCTGACAGGTTTTCATGACATTCTGTACGACGACCTTTTTCACCAAAAACATGCTGTACACTGTGTGCACAATTATTAGGCAAGTGATTGTTTTGACCATATCATCATTTTATCCATAATTTCCAACTCCAAGCTGTATAAACTTGAATGCTTATTGGATTTAATGCATATCAGGTGATGTGTATTTGTGTAACGAGGGAAGGTGTGGCCGAAGGAGATCAACACCCTATATCAAGGTGTGCATAATTATGAGGCAGATTCTTCTCCTCAGGAAAAATGGGCCAAAAAAGAGATTTAACTGACCCTGAAAAGTCAAAAATTGTAAAAAGTCTTTCAGAGGGATGCAGCACTCTTGGAATATCGAAGATACTGGGCCGTGATCACAGAACCATCAAACGTTTTGTTGCAAACAGTCAACAGGGTCGCAAGAAACGTGTCGAGAAGAAAAGACGCAAATGAACCGCCAAAGATTTGAGAAGAATCAAGCATGAAGCAACCAGGAAGCCATTATCCTCCAGTGCTGCCATATTCCACAACTGCAACCTACCTGGAATGTCAAGGAGTATGAGGTGTTCAGTTCTCAGAGACGTGGCCAAGGTAAGAAAGGCTGAAACCCCACCACCTCTGAACAAGACACATAAGTTGAAACGCCAAGAATGGGCCAAGAAATATCTGAAGACTGATTTTTCAAAGGTTTTGTGGACTAATGAGATGAGAGTGACTCTTGACGGACCAGATGGATGGGCCCGTGGTTGGATGGGCCCGTGGTTGGATCAGTAACGGACACAGAGCTCCACTTGGACTCAGACGGCAGCAAGGTGGAGGTGGGGTGCTGGTGTGGGCTGGTATTATTAAAGAGGAGCTAGTTGGACTTTTTCGGGTTGAAAATGGACTCAAAATCAACTCTCAGACCTACTGCCAGTTTTTTGGAAGATACTTTCTTCAAGCAGTGGAACAAGAAAAAGTCTGCATCTTTCAAGAAGACTTTCATTTTGATGCAGGACAACGCTCCATCACATGCATCAAAGTACTCCACTGCGTGGCTGGCCAGTAAAGGCCTTAAAGATGAAAAACTAATGACATGGCCCCCTTCTTCACCTGACTTAAACCCTATTGAGAACTTTTGGGCCGTTCTTAAGCAGGAAATTTCCAGTGAAGGTAAACAGTGCACCTCTGAACAGTGTCTGGGAGGCTGTGGTTGCGGCTGCACAAAAAGTTGATTCTGACCAGATCAAGAAACTGACTGACTCCGTGAATGGAAGGCTTGTGACTGTTATGGAAAAGAAGGGCGGCTATATTGGTCACTGAGTGTTTTTTGTTTTTGTTTTTTGAAATTTCAGAAATGTTTGTTTGTAAATTTTGAATGTGTTTATTATACTCACTTTAACAGGTGAAAATAAACAAGTGAGATGGGAAAATCTTTGTTTTTCATTTAGTTGCATAATAATTCTGCACATTAATAGTGACCTAATAATGGTGTACATATAGATATTCTCTTAAGAAGGCCAAAACTTCACTTTTACGACTTAAATGTTCAAGTTTGAGGGTTTGTTAACATTTTGGATTGACCAAGAGCACTGTA